CGCCGTCCACGGGGCAAAGGCCGTGTTACGGCTTCTCCTGCAGCAGTCTCGGTCATCGCCAGGGCGCCGTTTTCAGTGGGCCTACGCTTTCGCCAGCGTCGCCTCTCTGTCGACGGGCCGTCGGCATCCGGTGGGTCAAAAGCCTGTTTGTCTCTCTCGCGCCAGCTCTCGCTCGATTACGGACATTTGCGTATTTCGATTTTATCGCGCACGCTGAGCGATCTCGCTCGCGTGATCCCGCGAACTCTTGTCGCGGAAAGGCTGAGCGAGCGCGCTCGCCGCGGCGAAGTTAATCTTGTAGCGATATTTGTGAAAAGGCGTCAATAAATGAGATCGCCATTTGTAATATCATTGAATTAGAGTGTCCGTTTCTTTGTATCAACCTTCCCTAGCCAGCACGAACTTCGGCCTGTGAAAGTCAGCGCCGGCTTTCTTTACCGAGAAAGAACCCAGAAAAATTAGCAGAGACCAGCCCATGGCGCACGGAGGCTGACCACTCTTGCAACCTACAAATTCTTAGACTTCAGTTAGCAGTGTCCAGCTACATGAAGAAGTAAATGAAATCATCGTTGTAAACAAACTTTCATCATTCAAGTCTCCTTCAAGCGTCAATGAGACGTCACTTACCAATTATATCAATCGTAAACGTAAACAGTTGATAAACTTTTTTCATGAAATAAATGATCGTAATATTATAAAGCTGTACGATGTTTCAAAAGAAAAAATACAATTGACGAACTGCAAAATATGTGACGAATGGAATTAAAATTTAAGTTTAACCATAGAAAGTGAAAATCTAAATTATCAAGAAAAAGTACGCTTACTGACTCTTGTATCTTCAAGTATCACAAGTGATTAAGTACTGTTACATATAAGAGAAATTACAGATTACATGAATAAAGTTTCAAAAAAGCTCTTAGAAAATAAAGGTTTATATGAAAAATCCGATCCATACATTGGTAATCCTCTGAAGAGTGAGATCATCGAGCGAGTTCTAGAATATTATTATTTGAATGATGACTTGAATTGTTGTCGTCAAAGTCCGAACGAAACCAATGTGATTAGTGTAAAAATAAATAACACTATAGAACAAAAGTTAAACGCATTCTAATTCGCAGTATCAAAGAAATTTTCAATCTAATTATAGAACAGAATCCATATTTCTCGATATCAAGATTTAAAACATATCAGTTGCGACCAAACCTCAACCTTTAAATGACTCATGTTTATGTGTATACTGTGCAGATTTCGATCTACTAGTCGTAGCTTTGAATAATTTATTGCCAAAGTAAAAATTCAAGTTTTCAAACTTCAAGCAAGAACTATTGTCAATGATAATTTGCTCTAAGAAAAACCAATCGTGTCTTTTTCGAGAGTGAAACAGTTGTAAAAATAAATTGATCATCGCACAGAACTTTCCATTGGAGGATTGATATTTTATGAAATTAATTTTGCATTTTGGGAAAAAAATGCTCTTGTAAAAAAAATGTGCGTGTTTGATGTATTCCTCAAAGAATTAAGCAGTTGCATAGATAAATGAGCAAGCATAAACGATTCAAAAAGCTGCAGCAAAATTAAATTAAATTGGAAAAGCAAATAGAAATGGACGTTAAAATAAAAATATATATATATATATATACGAGGGTCGTTTGAAAAGTCCGTGCAAAAATAAAAACTGCTTGATTTTTTTTAATAAATCTTTTTTATTTTTCAACATAGTCTTCTTTTAGGCTTATACACTTCGTCCAACGCTGATCTAGTTTGTTAATCCCTTCCAAATAATAGGATTTATCCAAGTCTGTAAAATAGGCATTCGTTTCTGCAATCACCTCCTCGTTTGAATAAAATCTTTTCCCCACCAACCATTTTTTCATATTAGGGAACAAATAGTAGTCTGACGGAGCCAAGTCTGGAGCATATGGGGGATGTGAAACGAGTTGGAACCCTATCTCCACAACTGCTGAGGCGTGAGCTGGCGCAGTGACGTGGTGAAAGAGGACTTTTTTGTGGGCCAATCGTGGACGTTTCTCTATCAACTCGGTTATCAAACGATTCAACAACGATGAATAATATTTGCCTGTAATGGTTTTACCCTTTTTCAGATAGTCGATGAAGATTATTCCTTGCGAATACCAAAAGACAGTCGCCATAACCTTCCCGGTCGAAGGAATTGTCTTCGCCTTTTTCGGAGCAGATTCCCTCTTGGTAACTCATTGTTTAGACTGTTCTTTGGTCTCAGGAGTGTAGTGATGTATCCATGTTTCATCTACAGTGATGAAACGACGCTTAAAGTCTTGCGGATTTTGCTGGAAACCATTCTTGCAACACTTCCCACGATCTCGTTTTTGGTCAACCGTGAGCAATCGCGGCACCCATCTAGCGGATAGCTTTTTCATGTCCAAATCTTGGTGCAAAATATTATGTACCCATTCGCTCGAGATGCCTACAGTACTAGCAATCTCACGGACCTTCACTCTTCTGTCAGCCATCACCATATCATGGATTTTATCAATGATTTCTGAAGTGGTAACCTCAAGAGGACGTCCAGAACGTTCAGCGTCTTTTGTGCTCATATGACCACTCCAAAAATTTTGAAACCACTTATAAACCATTCTAATCGAAGGTGCACAATCACCATAATGCTTATCAAGCTTCTGTTTAATCTCCTGAGGCGTTTTGCCTTTGAAAAAGTAATGTTTAATCAATACACGAAATTCTTTTTCGTCCATTTTTTTACAACCACTCAATTTCTTTGATTGAAACGAATGAAAAGCGCAAAGTAATTGGCCGATCTGGCTGAAACTTGGTGTGTGCTCTTCCAAGATATGCTACTAACTGAAAATAACCTTGATACGCACTAGTAGCGCCATCTCTCTGACTTTGCACGGACTTTTCAAACGACCATCGTACACCAACAATTCTCAAACCATTTAGAAGCAAATAATCTTCTAAACCCTAAACAGGCCGGTTTCCGCAAGGGACACTCTACTGAGATCGCCTTGTGGGTATCCTCGATGACATAAGGTTTGCCATTGATAAAAGACAATTTACACTAAGCAATCCGCTAGAAACGTCCAGATTTGTGGAAGAACAAAAATTGGCTTTTGCACCATGATAACGCATCGTTACTTGTGCACGAATTTTTGGCAAAAAACAACACAATAATGGTGCTGCAGCCACCGTATTCCCCAGATCTGGCCTCCTGGCACTTTTTCCTGTTTCTAAAACTGGAGAGGTCCATAAAAGGACGACGCCATACCACGATTGAGGAGATAAAAATGGCATCGAAGGAAGAGCTGAACAACATCACAAAAAATGATTTTTTAAGGGCTTCGAGGATCGGAAAAAAACGTTGACACAAGTGCATTATATACGAGGGGGATTACTTTGAAGGAGATATTCATGAATAAATAAATAATGTTTGAAAACATACGAAATTCACAATACTTTTTTAACAGACCTCGTATTATATCTATACATGAAATCTAAATTTCCTAATTTTCAATGAATGATATCTGTAGTTAAAATAATTGGTTTCAAAAAATTAAGTAGTACTTTTTGAAGTAGATTTGCTGTTTGCAATGCCGTTTCTAGATTTGCAATACATCAAAAATTCGCGATGTGAGGAAAATCCAAAAACTAGGAAAAATAGTATTTTTTACATATTTAGATGGATATCTCAGATACTTAAGGTAATGGAACAATTTTGAGCCCGGATTCGAATTTAGTACACCAAATTTTTTCGGATATATCATCTTTGGTTTCTGGTTCTGAAAAATGTTGGCCTATGTTATTTTGACTACCCAAAAAAATCTGAATTACAGTAAGTTCACTTTATTTGTTAAATAATATATAATATATAATACATACTCCAACACATACACATACACACATATATAACGAAACATGACACTTGAATGTAATTCGGTGGAAACTGTATAAACTGTAAGTTGTAACGGAGATTTAGTCCGCTACAATATTTAATGACCGAGAGATGCGTAATAGATGACGAAGCGGGCTCGCGCAACGGATTTGCACGACCGACCCAGTAGCACAGACTGCCGATGGATTCGCCGGGTGGCAATGGCCTGCGGAGAGCGTCGTAGGTCGCGTAGCTGAAATCGCGAAGGTGTAGGAAACGAAAGGAATGATAGAAGGCACAGAGTGAAAGAGGCGATAGGTGTAATAGAAATATATATTCTATGTGTATTTGTACTGGACGGTGCAGAGAGAGAAGCAAAGCGGATAATGCGAGAGAGACGCAAAGAACGAGTGGTACTTACATCAGCTGCCGCTATCGGTGAGATTAGCCACGAGGCTCGACAATAAAAGTTCGGTCTATTGAAGGCCGATACACGCCGCAACCGGTAGCACTCAATTTAGCACTCGATCTATCACTCAAACTAGCCACGAGGCGACGCAAAATCACAAAACGAATCTAGTCGTCAATGGCACAGCCAAGCTATGAATTTCTAACGCAGTCGCACGCGTGTCACCAATTCGAGAGGCGTCAGCTAATTGCCTGTCCTTTGTCAAGCAGCACCTATCTTTCGCGGCACCCCGGTTCGCCAGTCCTACCAACCTACGCGGTGTCTCTCTCTGCTAGCGTTCTCTCTCTTACCTTAGTTCAGCTGCTGTCGTCCACTGCGGCTGCTAGTAATATAATATAAAAGTAGATATATGAATATGTACATATATTATTGTTATATAATTAATGTGGAGAGAGAGACATAACGAGTTGTTGACAAACTCGTTATAAAGTCACAAGCAAAACGTGCCTTGATTGCTTGTCTTAGAAAATATTGTATTTATGTTCCATTAAAAAAAAAGTATAAATATTGTGTGTGTGTGTGTGTGTGTGTGTTTGTGTATATGTGTGTGTGTTCATTTCATTACGAAGAATATCCAAAAATTTTATTCTGTTTCCATTATCAAATAAATTACGAATTTAAGCTATAAATATTGCATGTTAAAATTTATATATAAAGTGTATAACTTACCTCGTCAACGCCGATTTTTCTACAAGCTTCTAAAAAATTGTCCACATTACGTCGACACCTTGCCATTGTAAGTTTCGGCTAGAAATATTTTATTATCATTCAATCTATAATTTTAATAACTATTAAAGCGGTAGTGAAAATCGAATCAATGAAACTTACAACTGCTGGTGAAGGAACATGAATACTTGCAACTGATCGAGGTCTGACATGATTGGCTAGATGACAAAGAACAACTCCATCCGTAAGTGCTGAAGCTAGATCTTCAGGGAGAGCCATTTTTAATCTAGACTCTATTTGCTGTCAAGTAAAATGTTTATTAATATAAGAAAAGAAATATTAAAATTAGTATTTAATAGTAAATACCTACGTTTCTTAATTGCTCAATGAGCTCAGCTTCTTCTTTTGCTCTTTCAAATTCTCTTTTCATTGTAAATGAATATTTCGAAGAAAAATTTGTGTTCCAAAAACCTGTACTTGAAGAATTAGGGCCCTTATTTGGACTTTTCTTGTTATCTATTTTTAAAAATTAAAAAAAACAGAATCAGAATATTATAATAACTAAAAGGCAACTATTTGTATTTCGAAAAAAATTATGAGTTGCCGACATTAAGTATCAGCATTATCGCTTAAAAATTTCTCGCAGGATCACTATCTTAAGATCAATCTAGTTCATTAGACATTTTTCTATTTACCGTAGTGCAACAAATTCTAATTAACTGGAGAGAAAATATTACGGCGGTAACACTGTCATGCATTGTTATTATAATGGATGGTAAAGAGCGCAAAAAATTTGCATTTTATTTTACTATTTTTAAATAATTATTTTGGAGCATAAATGTTAAAATAAGAGCAATAAGCCTTTAATTTTCAGTTGTAAAGTTAATTAAGGTAAAATTTATACGGATAATATAATTTTAGTTTGCATATAATACAGAATAAAAGTATGCAGAAAAAATAAGGAATGATGTTAGGTAATAGTAATAGCTGTTTTGTTGTAACAAACTAAAATTTATGTGTAATTTTATTAAAATTTCAGTTGAATGAGAAAGATAGAAAGAGAGAGAGAGAGAGAGAGGAGAGGAGGCGAGAGAGAGAGAGGAGAGAGAGAGAGAGAGAGAGGAGGGCGAGAGAGAGAGAGAGAGAGAGAGAGAGAGAGAGAGAGAGAGAGAGAGAGAGAGAGAGAGAGAGAGAGAGAGGGAGGGCGACAGAGAGAGAGAGAGAGATAGATAGAAAGAAATAATAATATATTATTGAAAATTAAAAAAGAGAGAAACTATTTTTAATGTTGTAAGTTTCGTTACGTGTTGATAATAGACATTTATCAAAATGTTTAATTCTTCAAATTAAAAATATTTTGGCGAATACTTTCAATGTCTTGTGAGTTGAATATCATATAAAGTTTGAGTATATTCATTACTAACAACAATCTAACAATTAAATTCGAGTAACTATTATTAATATTGAATGAAGTTTAATTCATCTTATCAATCTTTTGAAACTTTTGTAACGAATGTGGATTCGTTAAGATGCGTGCTCCTAGAAGAACACACAACGACGATAGTAAATAGAGTGAAAGACAGACCGACCAAAGAATTCGAGTCTTGGAAAATAAAGGGATAAAATTGAATGAAAGCGGCATACGATAAGAAAGTAGCACGGCTGAAACAAGAGATCATGCATCATAAGGAGCTAATATAATTCGCTTGTACTGTCTAGTGCTGTGAGAAGTTTATTTTTTGATGCGCGAACCGCATAACAACTGCCCGAAGAATAAAACTTGTCGTCTCTCTCTCTCTCTCTCTCTCTCTCTCTCTCTCTCTCTCTCTCTCTCTCTCTCTCTCTTGGTGAGTAGCGACACACTGGTTTTTGAGGCTCTCTTCTTTTATAAACATTTTCCTACTTTTGCCACTTCCTCGAGCGGCATATTTTTGCAGGCGAGTTCGTCCATCTGGCCACTGCGCTTTCTGCTAAAAATTCTTGGCTTTTAGTCAATTTTTTGGCCAGTGGATGAATTAATCGCCTGCTTGGTCATAACATAACCTTCATCAAATCTCCAACTTTAACGAGTTTTAATCTACACATCGCTGCAATCAACGCAAAGAACAACACAGCCTCCACACCAGGACCGCTACACTCTACACACTACACACTACACACTACACATCTCACCGAATGTAACACTACCAAAATTTTTGCTGCTAAGTACCTGTATCAACAATTTTTACCGTTAATCCACATATTTCAATCTACTCGGAGAGACTCCTCACTGCCGGTATTATTTGTTCGCCGCATCACATCTTTTAACTCAATCTATTCTTGCGCTTAGTCATTGCGATAGCTATTTTAATTTTATTTTAATTTTACTTCATCTTGTTTTCTTTTATTTTATTTAATTTTGTTGTATTATTCTTCTAGCGCTATCTAACGCTAGACAATTTTAATTCTAATTTTAATTTTAATTTTATTCGATCGACTGTGTCAAATCGCGTTTCCTTTTCTACCATTCACTTAATTTGTAATGTAATTTTCTGCGTTCGCTTCATCAATCATTTTTCTCATTTCATTTTTGCGTATAAGCTACTTGTTCATTTTTGCGTTTTAATCATTTCTAGGTTAATTTGCGAATTTGTAAATGGCATCATTTTACTCCCAAATCTGCCGCCAATTTTTAATCCTTAACTAACTGAGGTGGTGTCACTAAGGCACCAATTTTCAAATCTTTTAAATCCTGACTTTTAACTGCTCCCGTTTATGACTGGTCAGTGACTCAAATTTTCGCGCGAAATTCAAACTTTTCAATTTGCCATATCAATCTGTCCTTTCAAATTACCTCGTTTATTACAGTTTCTTGTGAAGTTTTGAAACCCGGGGAGGAGAGATGAGAAACTTTTTGACACAATTTATGAATTTCTATTTTTTGTCTTAATTTGTTTTTAAATTCCAAAACCTCTCACTTTTATCAAATGGTCTTGTCTTTATGTGCCAAGTGTGGTAAAGCGCTGAGTTATCGGGGTGTCAATATCTTGCAGTGCGAGGCCTGTGACAGATCTTTCCATCAGCACTGTTCCGATATAACCTTAAACCCTGACCTTTCGACCTTTATTTCCCGTACCTGTTCGATTGAGTCTATGGTCTTGGCCAACTCTCGTTAGTCCGGTGGCGTGTTTTTACAATCCCCTCCTTCCACTCAAATCGACTCTGCTTCAGCTGGCACTTTGTCTTTCGTCGAAACCTCAGACCGAAAGAGACAGGAACGGTTGCCCTTTCCACTGTTTTTTCCCCCAGTGTGGTCCAATTCTACTTGCTCGATAGCGTCGCTCCTACCACGGGCGACAAACCGCCAGCATGGTTTTCCGGTTTCGTGAATAATGAATTCACCGAGTTTCGAAACGAGATTAGAGCCACCGAGACTTCCATTCTAACCAAAGTCAATCGTGTCGCCGACGAAGTGAAGAACCTCAAGTCTGTAGTGGATCTCAAGTATCGCTCCGAGCTCCTTATTCTGGGCCTTCCGCAGGTATTCCAGGGTTCGCTGGAAGATGCTGCCGGTATGCTTTTCGAGGCGATTGGCTACCCAAACGCTGGGGGTCGCATAGCGGCCACCAGAAAATGGACTGCCACTCGTTCTCGTCCCAACCCGGTCGATACTACGTCCGCTTTCGTTGTGCGTATCGACTCAACGGTGGTGCGTGATGTCATGTTAGAGCACTCTAGGAAGCTCGCTGGGAAGACGGCGAGGGACATTTTTAAGTGCGGTCTCGGAAATCCCGTTTTTATCCGCCAGATTCCCCAGCCAATCCACAATCTCTTTGTGAAGGCGCTTACGCATAGTCGTGAACTGGGTTTCGCGCGCCCTTTCGTCTCGGTTATGGTCGTCTATATGCGGGAGAATGCGCGTTCCACCCCATAATGTCAGAGAGCTACCTTGTCAGCTGTACGCCTTTGCCTTCCGGCCAGCCTCCTGTTTCGGACGCTCCACGCTCTGATGCCATGTCAGTGGCTGCCACTCCGATCGGTACTTGAAGACACGCGCCACTCAACCTCAACTTCGCGCCCCAGGTTGTCAAACAGTGACCCACTGCCGTTATCCCAAAAAACCCTGCTCCGCAACTTAACACAACGGACAGTTGTTTTAGCTTGACAGTGTCTGTCTTTCCAGCTCAGTTATCTCAAGCTATCCCAAATTCATCTCGTCCAGTTTCTGGTCCATGATGCCAACTAATCCAAGACCATACCCCGCCCTCTGCTTCCTTCGTTATCGGCCACATCAATATAAATAGACTAAATTTCCTCTGTCAGTTTGCTCTTCTCGAAGCACAAGCCCTTTCTACACATTTTGATGTCATAGCCATAACTGAAACCTTCCTCTCACCTGATATCTCTGACTCACACCTCTCCCTCCCCGATTTCAATTTTTTTAGGCTTGACAGAATTGGAAAGCAGGGTGGCGGGGTTGGCCTGTATGTCAGATCTTATCTTAAATTTAGTTTTCTAGCTACTTCAGAACCAGTTTTTGATAACACGACTGCATTCATCCTTGGTGAAATATAATCCGACAAGACCAAGCTTATGATGGCGGTGGTATACAGACGTCCCTCTGCATGCTCTCCCACACATTTTTTAAACTGCCTGGTCACTTACCTCCCCCTGTACGGAAATGTCATCATTACCGGTGATTTTAACGCAGCTCTCTGCCTGCTGCTCGAGCTTTGAGATCTGTCGTTGACCTACACAACCTCCACTTCATATCCACTGATCTCACACATCACTGTCTTGACATAAATCCCCCTTCCCACACTACTCTTGACCTCTTCATAGTGAAAGATCCAAATGCCATCCAGACATTTGGAAAATCTGATACTCCCTTTATTGCTGGCCATGATTTCATCTCGCTCACCTATCGTTTCACTACTAACAAGCATATCACCAGAGTCATTAGGTCCCGCGGTTTAAATCGGGTAGACGAAGCGGCCTTAAATGGGACCCTCAGTAACCTTCTCTCGTGTCTGGTCGACAAGTCTCTAACACGACTGAAGCGCTCTTCCGATCCGTCGGTCGATGTTGACTTGCATTCCCTGGACAACTCAGTACACTCTCTTACGTCCTTATAAAGTCTTTCGACGAGGTAGCCCCTCTCAGGTGCATCAAGTTGTCTTCTAGGCGTAAACCCTGGGTGACTCCGGGCATTCTCGCTCTTATGAAAAGACGTGACGCTGCCTATAAACTGGCATCCTCCTCCCGCTCGGTCAGTGACGTCGCTGGATATCGAAGACTACGTAATGAAGTCTCACATGCCCACGAATCAGCAAAAAATTCTTGCATCTCAAGCAGACTGTCATCCGCAAGCGCCTGTAAGGCTAGATGGAGGGAGTTACGAAATTTGGGAGTCACAAAGCGCGCTCTTACATCCACTTTTATATCTTTTCTCCTTTCAAACCGTTTTTCTGTAAAATAGGTGCCATCACGCTTTCATTACTTTTACTACTTTTATTATTTTTTATTACTTTTATTAT